TGCCATCAGCTTATGACTCTATATGTTCTGTTATTGAGCATTTGAAGGATTTGGATGTGATTGAGGTACAAGAAGTGGTAGCCTCTTTGAAGAGTTTTGAGTTGAGACTAGATAGGCATTCTAAAAACAAAACTGAGAGAGCATTTGCTAGTCTTAGTGTGAATCCCAAACCAGTTAAGTTCACTGGAAATCAAAATGCTAAGTACGAGAAGAATTGGAAGGCAAAAGGTAAAAATTGGGATAACAGACCCACTGATGGTGCTAGAAATCCTTGGAAACATTATGACAAATTGCATTTCAGTGAGTGTCGATTCAAAGGAAAGCCAAAGTGTTACAACTGTGACAAGTTTAGTCATCTTGCAAGGGACTACAATAGCAAGAAACCAGTGCAACAGCTCAATTATGCCATTCAGGTATAATCTACACTAACTATGTTTTATGCTAGTAATAAAACTAATACTAGTGTAAAAGGATGTGATGATGTATGGTTTGTAGATAGTGGGTATAGTAATCATATGACAAGTAGGGAGGATCTACTTGTTGATATTGACAAGAATTGACTGCAAAGGTTGAACTGGGTACTGGACAACTTGTTGAAGTGACTGGTAAAGGGAGTCTTATGGTTGAAACTAAAATAAGCAAGAGATACATCAAGGAGGTTATGCTTGTGCTTAGACTGAAAGAAAATTTACTTAATGTGGGTCAAATGATGGAGCATGGCTACTACTTGGTGTTTGGAGATCACAAGGTGGAAATCTATGATGACAGTTCATATTCCAACATGGTTGCAAGAGTACCAATGAGGGGAAATCGAAGCTTTCCAATGAAATTGCAGTATGGAATGCATATTGTTTTTAAGGCAAGTGTATGCCACTCTACTACTATGTGGCACAGAAGATTGGGATATCTGAACATGAACAATTTGAAGTTGATGAGGAACAAGAAATGGTGGTAGGATTACCAGAAATCAAAGCAGTTAAAGGAGTGCGTGAAAGTTGTGTTCTTGGTACACAATTTAGAGAGGCATTTCCAAGGGAAGCTACTACTAGGGAATCAACTCCTCTAAAGCTTATACACAGTGACATCTGTGGTCCAATGCAGACAACTACAAAGGATGAGAATCGATATTTTCTCACCTTCATAGATGACTGCACAAGGATATGTTGGGTTTATTTTTTTTAAGACACAAATCTGAAGTCCGTAGTGTGTTTAAAAGATTCAAAGCTATTGTGGAGTTGCAGAATGGTTATAAGCTGAAGAAGCTTAGAAGTGATCGAGGAAGAGAGTACACTTCAATGGAGTTCGATAGATTCTGTGAAGAGGTAGGCATGGAAAGACAACTCACCACTCGATACACACCACAACAAAATGGTGTGGCAAAGAGAAAGAACATGACTATTTTGGAAATGGCTAAGTGTCTCATGTTGGAGAAGAAGATTCCACTTGATTTTTAGGTTGAGGCAGTCAATACCTCTGTGTATATCCTGAATAGATGTCCAACCAAAGCTTTGAATAACAAAACATCTTTTGAAGTATACAGTGGGAGAAAACCAGTAATTAAGCATCTAAAGGTGTTTGGTTCATTGTGTTATTCTCATGTGCCAACACAACAGAAACAGAAATTGGATTTAGCAAGCAAGAGGTGCATTTTCTTGGGGTATAGTAGTTGTGAGAAGGGATATAGACTATATAAAATTGAATCTGGGAACGTGATTGTTTCCAAAGATGTTGTATTCAATGCAGATGCATGTTGGGATTGGAATGCACAGAAGGAAAGAAGTGTGAGTATTCAAATTACTGAAGTGTCAGAAGGAGAACAAGGGTATGAAGGGAGTTCTTATGGTTCTAAAGCACAATGTGAAATAAATAAAGATAGTGAAGTGCTAAGCTCAATCACTGAAATCTATGATCAAGGAAGGATGATAAGTCCACAGGATATTGATCACACTCCTCTCAAGTACAAAAGTATTGCAAAAGTGTATAAGAAGTGCAATTTGTGCATTATAGAACCAGAAAATTTTGAAGAAGCTACCAAGGATGAATCATGGCAGAAGGCTATGGAAGATGAAAACATGATTAAGAAGAACAACACTTGGGAGCTAGTTGATAGACCGTTAGATATACCAATCATTAGAGTTAAATGGGTCTATAAGACAAAATTGAATCTGGATGAATCTGTGCAGAGAAAGAAAGCAAGGTTGGTTGCAAAAGGCTATTCCCAGACGCCTAGAATAGACTTTGATGAGACTTTTGCTCCAGTGGCAAGACTTGACATCATAAGAACCTTGGTGGCCCTTGCTACACAGAAAGGTTGGAAGTTATTTCAGTTAGATGTAAAGTCAACATTTCTAAATTGAGTGTTGAATGAGAAGGTGTATGTAGACCAACCATCTGGCTTTGTGATACAAGGCAAAAAAGATAAAGTGTACATTCTTAAGAAAGCTTTATATGGTCTGAAGCAAGCTCCAAGAGCTTGGTATGAAGTGATAAACTCTTATTTTACAAAGTATAGATTCAATAGAAGTCCAAGTGAAACTACACTGTTTACCACGGCATCTCACAGTGGCATTTTCATTGTGTCACTATATGTATATGACATTATCTACACAGGAAGAACGAAGGAAATGATGACTAAGTTTAAAAATGAGATGATGAGACAGTATGAGATTACTGATCTAGGATTGCTTCACCATTTTCTTGGTCATGGAGTATTGCAGACAGATACCTGCATTTTCTTGCACCAGAAGAAGTATACAAAGACTTTGCTTGAAAAATTTGGACTCATGGATTGTAAACTTGTTGTAACACCATTGGCTGTGAATGAGAAGCTTTCAAAATTAGATGGAAGTGATCTAGCAGATGAGACTTTGTATAGGCAAATGTGGGGAGTTTGCTATACTTAACTGCAACTAGGCCAGACATCATGATTGTAGCAAGCTTATTGGCTAGGTTCATGCATAATCCTACCAAGAAGCATATGGGGACAACTAAAATAGTGCTGATACATACAAGGCATTGTGAACTATGGCATTGCCTATGAGAAAGGAAAAGGTGCAATGTTGATTGGTTATTGTGACAGTGACTAGAGTGGAAATGAAGATGACATGAGAAGCACATCAGGTTATGCTTTTAATCTTGGTTCATGGGTGTTTTCTTGGGCCTCAATCAAGCAAAGCAGTGTAGCTCTCTCAATTGCAGAGGCAGAATATATCAGTGCAGCAGAAGCCACTGCACAAGCCATTTGGCTAAGATTTGTGCTCTTTGATTTTGGAGAAGAGCAAGCAGAACCAACTCAGTTGCTATGTGATAACACTTCAGCTATTGCCATATCAAAGAATCCAATTCATCATCACAAAACCAGACATATCAATCAAAGATTTCATTTCAACTGAGATGCACTTCACAATGGTGAGATTGATCTGCTATACTGCAAGACTGAAGAACATATTGCAGATATCTTCACCAAAGCTTTAGCAAGGGATCGATCTGAATTTCTGAGGAAAGCTTTAGAAGTGATTTCAGCACAACACTTAGAAGGGAGTGTTAGTTTATAAGTGTATATGATGAAATGTTATAAGAACTAAGAGTAGAACTCAGTTTAAATGTCAACCCTTAGATCACAGTCCAAGTGTGCAACTAAAATGTAATCTTAGAGTAAGTGATAGTTTATGTCATGTATCATTACTTTATAGGGTAGATGAATGAATGGCTATATTTGAATGATGTAATGAGGGAATATTCTATTCCCAACGATTACATGTGCACAGTGTGCGTGTGAATGAAAGCAAGCTTCTCATTTACTTCTTCTTCAAGCTCTCTCTCTCTTTCTCTCTCTCTCTCTCTCTCTCTGAAATCTATCTTTCTTGAATCCTTCATTTTCTTAAAATTTCCAGCTCCATTAATTGTTGATTTAAAGCTTACATACAAGATAACAATCTATGCATGCTAACATGACTTAATAAAATATGAGGAATTTGGTGTAACACGTGGCCTGCTCGTACTATCATGATTGCTGCTAACACTGGGTGCTTATTTAAGAGCCAATTGGAAGCACACAATATATTTATACTAAAATATGAGAAATTTGGTGTAAGTCTCACAATAAGTTAATAATAACAAATTACGAGATTCGAACATGGGATTTTACTCTTAAACCCCAAAATAATGCCACTAGATCGTTATGCTAAGCAGTTTGACAATTAGATTGTTGTACATACTGCATAATATTTCCAAAATTGCAATCATAAATAGATTTCTTTTTCATCAATTAGTTAAAAAATGGTTCATGTCGTTTTGACTAACAAGTTGTCGCTCCCCATCACTATCGGGATGTAGATAAAAGAAAGAGTAAACCTTTTTCTTTCCGAATGCAACCAATCATTATATCAAACCCCTTTTTGTTGCTTCAAAGATGAAAATGAATGAGGCAGTCAGGCAGAGTCTTTCATTTTCTAGGAAAAGCAAAGGAAGCAAAAGCACCAGAAAACAACTACAATGTAGAGCTTCAAATGAAATAACAAAAAAGGAGGAACCAGGTTAAATTATGAGTACAATTAAAATTTACAGTCTTCAAGGAACATGAAATATCTAGTAAGAAAAAAAAATTTAAAACACGAAATTAAAAACGAAATAGTCCGCTCATTGTGTGGCTTTGTCGAACTCCTTCTACACTTAGTGTAAAAATATCGATGTAGTAAAAAAAAAAGGAAATGGTCAGGTGCTTAAAACCCTCTGTGTGGTCGATCAATAGGAGCTTCTCCCAGCGTTCGAAGGGTCCCAAGCCCACCGGCTCCCATGTGAATCCGCTGCTGAACACAGTCCTACATTTTTTATCTATCAATCCTGCGATTTTCTTTCTATCTCTATTTAGTCTGCAGAAATGAAAAATCAATATTAAAAACGAAAGAAGAAATAATTGATTTCCGTGGGTGAGCTGGTGAAATAAACCAAAAGCGAACGTTAAAGAGAGAGAAAAAGAAAGGGAAAAAAAGAAAAAAATGAACCTGTCAGACTACCGTGCGACCACCCCAGACAGAGAAACTGGCTGAAAACGATCATCCACTGCTTGATGGAACCTAGGATCCAGAAACTGTTAATCACGCTCTGATCGCACGGTCATTATTCATCCACCAGGTTGGGATTCCTGTCTCCTTAGAAATCAAGGATACAGAGGTACGATTCTATAGAACAGATCCTGTTCAAGTAAGGTCGTGAACTGTTGTCCTTCGTTCAGGTATATGAACAGCTATACTATTTTGGATGCGGTCGATGTGGGACTTAAGCGCGATGTTCCGCCTAACAGTTAAAGAACTTGCTTTCTCTCTTTTTTGATCAATTACTTTTCAAGCTTCAAACCGCTCTCTGGATATTTAAACAACAGAAAAGCTGTGTCGTTGCTTTGGATGATTGTTTAAAGTTAAAACATGATTAATTGTGTTGGTAGATTGCTTGTATGTTTGTATCAAGTTTCTCTGAAAACTGAGCCTTCCTAGTGGTTTCTGATGGGATTTCACGATCCCTGGAGTCAAATTGCTCCAATCACTTGCAACCTAGTTATTACACACGTCGCGTTGAATTTGAATGATCGAAACCGTCTAGTTTTTAGATCTCCATCTAAAAATAATCCTTGCAAAGCGTCATTGTATTCAAAATTGTTTGGGATCATGTGATTATAATCATGAACATTTATTTCTTTTAGAAACATCGTGTTTGTCCATTTGTTGTGTTGATACATCTGACCGGTGTTACAAACTCATCTGGCCGATCAATTTCTACCGTAAGACTGCCACTTGAATGGGATTCCCAGTTTCATTTTGTATGATTCAAACACCATAGTTAAGTGATTGTCGACTCACTCCAGATCTTTCCATAAAAAAATGTATCAAAAACACGAACTATCGATGAAATGTTAATGAACAAGAAACAAAGAATGCAGAGTTCTTGATTGGCCTCAAATGAATGCTTTTGCAGATGCGGTTGAAATATTCTTTTCGACACTTATCGCCCCTCCCTCTGTTTTTTTTTCCGTACTCTTGCCAAAAACAAATCAACTTTCTTTATTGCCCTTGCGGTAAAGAAATGAACTTCTGAAACTGGTAGCTTCTACCACTCAGGGCCGGCCCAGGCCCAGTGCAGGCAGGGCAACCGTTCAGGGTCCAAAAAAATTAGGGGTATTTATATATATTTTTATAAGAGTATAAATATATAAAATTTGGTTCAAAGACATAGAAATTTAACTAGAAGTGGTGGTTTATCATTTGAAAATAATGAGGAGATCTTGGGTTCAAAACACCATGTGTGCTTATTTACTTTCCATTTTTTACAAATTTCTTTTTATAAGAGTATAAATTTATAAAATTTGGGGATAAAGAAGTTTAATTAGAAACAATGATTTTTGTTGTTTAAAATTAACAAAAGGTCCTAAGTTCAAAATGCTATGTGCATGTTTTTTTCTTCCTCAACCTTATGCATTTTGGGTCTAGATCCTCATCCCTCTTTATGGATTGTACCAAAACAATTGACGCAAAAGTTTTGTCCTAACTTTAAAGAAACAAATTCAAATTATGGCTGGAAACGTGAAATCTAGGCTGCTTTAACAGAAAGGCGTTTGTGTGGATAAATATAATTAATGGTAAATGCCAGATCTAGGATTTGGTATGAAAGGTAAGAATAATGCATAAATGCAGCCTCTCAAGAATCGAATGGAAAGAAAGAGACGTTAAGGAAGGTGCAGAGAAACCAGAGTTGGGTTTTTTACTGTGCTTTGCAGGAGTTGCAGTCATGCTTGTAAGAGTTTTTTTACACAGAGAGAGGGACGTTGGGGAGGGAAGTGGAAATTACTGGCATACATATTACATAGTAATAGTCGCATTGGCATTTCTTTTTTTCCTTTTTCTTTTTTTTTTTTCTTTTTTTTTTTTGTTATTTAGTGTTTTTCTTCTTGCTCTAAACACCATTTATAGATTTTATTTTAAATTTTTGTAATCAACTATATATAACAGATTCTTTTTATAATCAACTTGTATCACAAATTAATATGTCTTGTTTGTAAGTATATTATGTTTTACTACTTTTTAGTTGGACCGTATGTTTTGCAAATGAATTTATCTTAGTATATTAATTTTTGTTAGAAGAAGTTAGGTAGATTTATTGGAATTTGAAGATGCATGAAATTACAGGATTTTAATTTATCTCTAAATTTAAAAAAAAATGTAAAATGAGTATAAAAAAATGAAAGTGGAGAAAATGTAATACTAGACTTAAGCTAATAATCACTAAGGAATAGGAGAGAGAATTTGAACTTGAAACGCAATGGGGTGAAGAAGAATATCTAAAACACGAGAGCATCCACTTCTTGCAATTATCATTTATCTTATATGTGAATGATTCATATTATGTATAAGAGTCAAGTATTTTTCATATGTAGTTAGGACAAAACTTTTGCGTCAATTGTTTTGGTACAATCCATAAAGAGGGATGAGGATCTAGACCCAAAATGCATAAGGTTGAGGAAGAAATCTCTAACCATCAGGACAATTCACCAGTTGCAACTCAACTAGTAAATTTCCAAATCAATAAGCTATTAATAAAACCCTCTCTCTAGAAACTCTCTTCAGAAACCCCCTTGAACCAGAGCCAAACCCTAGCCTTTCTCACTTGTCTCTCCCCTACATTCAGATCCGGACCTTGCCCTCCCAAGGGTGCTGGTGCATTGGAATCACGTGTTCGTCACTCTGCTTGGTGTTTTGATTTGCCAGAATCCATGCTCAGATTTGAGCACAGCGCCTCCTTAGTGGTGTTGCTTTGGTTTGGGTTTGAAAATCTGGCGGTGGCTCTGTTTGGGTCGTTCTTGTTGATGGTTGCATTTTTTAGATCTGGAATTTGTGTCGCCTGGGGTTCATATTGCATCTCTGCTGGACTTATGGATGTGGCGGACTCGAATGGTGTTTAGGGTTTTTGCCATCTTGTGCCTCAACACGACTGTGATCCTTGCCTGCGGGTTCTTTCCCCAACCAGATGGTGTCGTTTTGTGTTTTTTAGCCTAGTTTAGTAATGAGTTAGTTTAGTCTAACTATATCGTATCGCCTAACGAGTGTTGTGGCCGCGCTACAAAGATGGTTGTACTTGGTTTTTGCTTTGAGCGTTGTATTATGTGGTATCGTCTACTAACGATGACTTTATGTGGTCTCGCTCTCACGATGACTTTATGTGGCTTGCATTCACCTATATAAATATGTTATATATCACTTCTGTGATAGGTTTGTATGGGTGTAGTGGGAAGTTCTCGTACATGTGGTAGTTGTCTAGGGGTATACTATTATAGTCTCTTTTGTGCAAATTCACCTCCAGATCATTTTCTTGATCACTGAAGAATTGTACCCCCATTGGCACCTATTTATTGCTCTCGGATGATTAATGAAATACCAAATATCGTTGCTTGTCAAAAGAAAAAAGTAAATTTCCAAATTTCTTAAGGATGAAATTGGAAGTGCAATGAATGTACAAAAATTTAATTATATGTGAAAAAATACCATGGATTTCGAATGATTGACTGTATCTGGTTATATGAAATTTGTAATATTGCATTGTGTCCAATCTGTTATGAACCCCATTTATGGTTTTCTAAAATTTACAGCTTGACCCGAGATAGTTAAAGTAGGTAATAACTTCTCATCCTATCATAGAGGTAACATTATAAAACAATGCGATAAAAACATGAGGTGGCAGTCCATTTGAAAAGTCTCACTTTAAAGAGAATGTCCTTGGAGAATCTTCAACTCGTCATCAAAGGACAGAATAATTTCTTCTGTTTTTATAAGCTTTTTGTCCCACCATGCCTTGGCAAGAGAAATCCCACATCCTCCACCTCCACATCCAGCCTTACAACACAAGCAAAGGGTTGTTATGGTTTAGCATGATCATATAGGATTACATGAAACCGAATGCAGCAGAAGACAACAAAATACTGGAAAAAAAAGTAGGCAGCATATAACTATTGTCAATACTGAGCAGAAGTCATCATTAAGACAAGCAAGCTTTGGTGCATGTCCGAATTGTACAATCTGACACTACTATGAATGAGAATTTGCTCATCTAAAACCTGTGTTTCCCTTTTAACATGCTATAGATGAATTTATTTCCCTACAATCATGGCACTTAGCAGGAACATATTTCATGCCACAAAGACATTACTATTCAAATTCCATGGCAAACTTTTAAAGCCACAAGGTCGCTACATCTCTGAAGCATTGAGCAACAAAATTATCAAAAGTAAAAAATGGTAAAGTGAATCGTCGATATGGCAAAGAAGACAATGAAAAAACACCAAAATAAATACAAAGCAACAGCTTCATAAAATATTAAACAAAAAATAAGGAACCTATAAATTTAAAACTCAAATTTTTTTTAAGAAACATGAAGAGGCTCACTATTACAAGATATGTTCACTGGATTCCGTTGAAGAGGACCAAAAGGAACCAACGACCAAAGAGACAAAGTGAGGGGCTCCCTTGCCAGTATATGTTCAAGACAAAGTGCAAGGGGCTTCCTTGTCGGTGTATGTTTTGGCTTCAACAAAATAGTAAATCAAAGTTCCTCCAGGAACTGACATTGGCATCAACATACCCTGCATGACGTCTGACCCTGGTTAACATCTCTCCCACGAAGTTGAAGAATACTACTGGGATATTCATTCGGGTTTCAGTCTTGCAGAGGGAGAGGCCTTGGGATGTTCATGCATAGTGTTACAATATGCAATTGGCCTCAATACCATAGGGATAGGAGCTTCTCTCACTATTCTTCATTGAAGAAATAATCTGTCTCATCAACATAGCCCTCTTCTTTCATTACTGCTGTCAAATACTTTAAAGCCGCAATGATTTCACCAGCATTTGGATGAGACTTATCCCCAGCAACAAACAAACTTGTTGTCTGTCCCACTACAATCCAACTACAACCAGGAACCTTTGTCAATTTCTTTTCTTTCATTTCTCTCCTCAAAGAGCTAGCCTCATCCCAGTTTCCTGATGCAGCATGTATATTAGAAAGCAGCACATATGTTGAAGAATTTTGTGGTTCTAACTCAATGAGTTTCTCAGCCGCACGCTGTCCCCTTATGTAATCTCCATGTAATCTGCAAGCACCAAGTAATGTGGCCCAAATCATAGCATTTGGGTCAGAATCTAGTCTGTCAACAAACTCCTCTGCTTCTTTAAGAAATCCCCACCGGCCTAGAAGATCAACCATGCAGGCAACATGATCGACCCTGGGTTGGATACTATACTTATTAACCATAGAATCATACATTTGTCGGCCTTCAGCTACCTTCCCTGCATGACTACATGCAGTGAGAACGCCAAGGAATGTGACATCGTCAGGCAAAATATGAAAGTGTCTCATCTCATCAAAGATTTTCAATGCATCTTCTGCATAACCATTTTTAGCAAACCCAACTATCATTGAGTTCCAAGAAATGACACTATTTTTAGTACCCATTTCTTTAAAAACATGCACAGAACTACCCACATCCCCACATTTAGCATACATGTCTACGAGGGCACTACAAGTTAACTCGTCCAGATCAAAACCGGTATGAAAAATGAGGGAATGGATCTCTCTACCATTTTTCAAAGAAGAAATGACAGCACATGCTCGAAGAACACTAGCAAATGTTGCTTGGTCAGGTAGGGCATTATTGCTATGCATCTCTCGATACAACTGTAGCGCCTCCTCACTGCAATCATTTTGACTGAGTCCTGAGATCATAGAGGTCCATAATACTTTGCTTTTTGGCTTTGGGAACTCCGAGAAAAGAATTGTTGCATCTACTTTGCTTTGGGAGTTCATGTACATGCCTAGGAGAGAGACACCCAAGAAGTCAACATCACACAAAAGGCCTTTCTTTAGTACTATGCAGTGGATTTGCCTTCCCAGAGTTAACATGAGAGGTCCACTACATGCATCTAGAAGGACTGAAAAAGTAATTTCAGTTGGGTTCAATCCTATCTCCTGCATCTCATGAAGCAAATTAATGGCTTCTGCCAAGTTGCTATAGCCAAAACCAGCAATTAGAGCATTCACAGAGACCACGCTCCAGTGGGGCATATAACAGAGAGCTTTACGTGCATTGCCGATGACCCCACATTTAGAATACATGTCAATAAGGGAGCTCCCAGAATAGAGGCTTGTTTCCAGCCCATTTTTAACTGAGAGACCGTGGACTTGTTGTCCCATCTTTAGTGCTTGAACATTTGCACACGCACTTAGTATACTTGCCAAGGAGACTTCATCAGGCACAATTCCATGCAATTTCATTCTTCGGAACATATTAAAAGCCTCGTCTTCATCTTCTTCCTGTACGTATCCAACAATAATTGCATTCCATGATATATTGTCTCGATTTCTTATAAGCTCAAATTGTTTCCTTGCTTCCTTCAGATCCCCTGATTTAGCATACATATCAACCAATGCATTTCCCACGTATAAATTTGATGCAAGTTTATTCTTGATGATATGTGAATGCAACTGACAACCCATGTTTAGATATTCCAAGCTAGAGCATGCGCTAAGAATGCTAGTGTAGGTAAATTCATCAGGGCAAAGACCACACCCCTTCATAATGGTAAACAATTCTATAACTTCACTGGCATACCCATTTTGGGCATAACCCCCAAGCATCGCATTCCACAAGACAACATTTTTCTCTGGTAGATAATCAAATATTTTCTTTGACGAATCCATCTTTTCACACTTGGCATACATATTGATTAAAGAACTTCCCACATAAACGTTAGAATCTAACCCCAGTTTTACTGCCATATTGTGAACTAGCAAGCCATAGTCTAGAGCAGCTAAACTAGCAATTGCGCTCAAAACACTTCCTAGCGTGGATCTTGTCGGTTTTTCGCCAGATTTCCTCATCCTCAAGAAAAAGTTAACAGCTTTCTCCTCATTGCCTCTCTTGGCATGCCCAGAAATCATCACATTCCATGCTACAACATTAGGACTGGGCATCCGGGAAAACAACTCACATGCGTCATCTAGCCTTCCTAGACCAACGCATGCATTTATGACAGTCACGAATCCCACCTGGTCCAGAAAACCACCTACTCTTTGCATCTCCATAAACACTTTAAGTGCCTCCTCGAGCAATCCAGCTTGAGCATACCCTGAGATCATTGTTGTCCAAGCAACTGTATCCAACTTCAACACGCCATCAAATACCCGCCGTGCATCACTTATACAATTGCACTTGGCATACATATCAATGAGTGCACCTTCACAAAATGAACTCGACTCAAACCCCGTCTTAATAACACCACAATGAACTTGCCTACCATATTCAACACCAGCCAATCTTGCACAACCAGACAAAACCATTGCGAAAGTGAACTCGTTCGGCATAACCCTGCCATTCCACATCGATCCAAATGACTTAACAACCTGTTTCAGCAATCCCTTACTCGAATACATTGACAAAACTGAGTTCCAAGCAAACACATCCTTGTTTTCAAGGCAGTCAAATGCCTTCTTGGCAAATCCACATTACCGCACTTGGCATAAAAACCCAGAATGGCATTTCCCAGAAGCCCTTTGGATGAAATCCCAAATGTCAAGCTGCGGGCGTGGACAGCCTTGCAGGTCCTGGAAGCACGAGCCAGCAGCCTGTCAGGCATTTCGTCGAACACCTTATGGGTCTTAATATACTTGCATTGCTGTAGACATATCTGCAAGAGAGGGGTGTAATGGGACTCAGATGCTCCATCTTGGCAGACCGACTCGGACGGAATAGTAGAGAGGCTCTGCTTTCGGTGGAAGAAGTGTAAGGTTTTGGAGGGAGGAGGTCTGAAACGCATTGACTCATGACGCACTAGTGCCAGCCTTAACCGAGACGGGTGCGCGTCGTTTGGTGTTGGCTTCAAAATTGTGCGATCTTCTTCATTTAAACTAACTTCTGTTAGTAAAACCAAGCCCTAATTAACTTGTGTTATCTTTCTTGGTAGTTTAAATGAATTTAATGTAATTGTAAAAAAACACAAGCCTTACTTAACTTGTATTAACTTCTGTTAATAAAAACAAGCCCTAATTAATTTGTATAATTCTTGATAAAATTTTGCTCATTGTTATAAGTTTGTTTAGTTGACACACCCCGACCAAGATCGAGGCATGCTGGGCGTCACGTGAGGGTGACGTAGCCATGTGCACAATGCGGAAGCAATAAAGATAAGAAATATACGAATAAATAAAAACCAAAAGTTACTAATGTGCACTAATAAACAGGAAGTGCTAGGAGTGAGATACAAGTGTAAATACTCCTAATCAGAGCATAGAAAGTCTAGGTGCAGTTCAATAGGACAAGTACTAATTATATATACAGTACCAGAAAATGTCCTACAAATATTTTATTATGTTAGAACCGCCAAGATCCTCAAAGCCACCAACAGCAAGTCTACCTAAAACCCGGAGGAGCGCAAAACATAAAATGTGAGTGGGCAAAAACAAATGTTTTTCAAAACCATTTCATCATTAAAATGCTCTAACCCTTTGCCATAAAACATGTATAATTTTCTTAGAAATAGAATATAAACATATGCATAAATAAAAATAAATAAATATATATATATATATATATATCAATTCAAATCATGCTTCACATAACCATATTCATAAGTACGCCATGCCAAAATATAAAACAAAATAAGTAACTCAGGTGCAAATGAATTCATGGAAATTAACATATTAGCCGGAACCCCTGTAGAAGTCTGTACGGTTCAATTCATAGCTCATTATTCAATCTAGCAGAAGTCACTACAAATGACCCATACGGCACTATACTGCACACAAGTCGAAACCACTTACGACAAAACTGAGTGTAATATAATTATGCTCAATACTATGCTATCATGATAGCTGGGCGATAAATCGCTAGTCACCTACGAGTCGGAACCACCTATAATGGTTTGTACGACAAGACTGTGCATCTAAATTGGATCCAATGTGAGCATATGGTGCAGGATGTGACATTATAAACAGGTTTGTGTCATATCTCTGGCTAAATCACTAACACCGAGGTGCAGGTTTATGAGCTCTATGCTTCTCAATTAATCACAACCGTTATTCACATTCACAATTCATAAACTCACTTGGAACTTACCTGAGCGCCCACAACACCAAATCACATTTATGCAGACAAGTGTAACTCATGGTTTAAGCATAAATCAATAGGCATGGCATTTTCAAAGCATAACTCATTTAAATGCATTTTTTTTGGAAAATATCAAGCATATACGTATATACTTAAAATCAAATGCCCACTCACTGGTATGTCAAAGGGTCGTAGCCCCCGAGTCGCCCTTGACTGCGCTCGTCCTCGTGATAAGTCTCCCCTATATGTGAAACAACTATAAAAATGTTAATTTAAAGCACATAACCATCGTGATCTACACAACTCCACAAACATCTCCATATTTTAAAATAATTTTTGGACGTCTCACGCGTCGCCACGCGCCGGCAAGGGCATGGCAACACTAACAGCCACGCGCAGGGATCCTAACGGAATCCCTTAACCTCGTTAAGAATATTCCGTTAAATAGTAACAAAATCCGTTAAACTAACCAACGCCATTAGGAATATTCCGTCAAAGTTGACAAAATATTTTGTCATCCCCTACCTTCGAACTCCGGCGACCGTTGCCGTCACCGGAAACTAGAAAACTTTAAAACCTTCATTTCTCATCCATTTCTCAACCAATTTGAATGAAACTTAAACCAATTTAAAGCTTAATACGAATAGAACACAACCATACCTTTCAAAAGCCCTAAAACCCACAGAACTGGTCGGAAAATCCCTCGATAATCCGGCTAAACCTGCAACTCGTCGAAATTCAACTTTCCAACGTCCAAATCACTTCATTTTTCTTCTCCGAGCTTCATGAAGACAATCTAAAGCTTCATATACCCTTAAAAACTCCTAAAAACCTCACAATAATTAGTGCATGAACATCACCTAAATCGGAGTTCGAGAGAAACTAGGGTTTTCAAAGGTTTCAAGTTCTAAATATAGTACGAATGGACTCATGAGCTTGTAGGGAACAAGAACATTACCTTTTTAACGTCGATACGTGCCTGAAATGGAAGGCTTGGAGTTTGTCCGTACAAAGTTGACGGAAACAGAAGAAAATCGAGAGGGAGGAGAGAGAGAGTGCACTAGAAGGAGAGAGAGAGAGGGTGTTGGAGTGTGTGTGTGGTTCAAAATTGTTTGACTTCCAAACAAGCACAAAATCATAACAACTTTAAGTCCTAATTGGTTCCAAATATAAGGGACTTAAGGTATTAGTTCACTTCCAAACTTAAATCACACAATCACACAAAACGTCCGAGGGCAAAATAGTCATTTCACATCGTCAAAACTAAATATTTCAGGACGGGCTGTGACATTAGTGATTTTGAGTTTTTTTTTTTTTTTAACCTCAATGATATGAGAGAAATTTATTGATAAAGTTACACCTAATCAAGGATGGACAAAAACCTTAGAGCAAGCCCACCCCCTACACAATTGCCTTGAAAATTGGGCAATTGAATCCCCCAAAACCCCAACAATCCTCACCACCCCAACTCAATTAGTCGGGCCACATGTGTGCCCAAGACCAACGGATTGAACAATCATCCAAAGATAGCTCGAGTGAGCATCTAAGGCCATGTGACTTTAGGCTGACGTCTAGCCTGACATCATATACATTATATATTTTATTGGTGTCAGGCACGCGTATGATGGTGCGTCAGCCGACCAAAACCCAAACGATGGGGTCCGCACTGCATGCACACTCACCCAACAACCATTAGGTTTCTAATGGTTAGCTATCCTACGGTCCAGATTTTTTCAACAAAAACAATCCTTTTCTATTTAAAAAAAAATCTAAAAAATTATATTTTTACTATTGGGCCAACGTGGACTATATGGATTGTCGGATTGTAAAAATCTAAAAATTTATAAAAATACATAAAAGTGCCAAAAAAGATAATATAAACTGTAGCGTGACAAAACGAGATTGTAATTGCAGATAATAACATGTAGCATAACAGGATTAATTAAAAGTTCAATTCGAAATTAAGCATAATATTAATTTTTTTTACATAATTTTGTAATGTCAATTGCAAAAATGCACTCAGACTTTTACCATTTACTAGGCCAATAATGACCTTTTCCCAATTGATGAGGCAATTATTGCCTTAGTAGGATAAACTTTCTCATGCCCCTCATAAGTTAACGAGTACAAAAAAGGAAAAGGGAGAAACCCCTCCTGAAACATAAAGAAAAAGAACACAAAGGGGGAGGACATAGGACCGAAACTCTTCTAAAACAAAACATAAATGTCATTGTAAGTGACAGTCTACAAACACTATCCAATATAGATTACCTTGAACGAGAAAAATAAATTCAAGTCAAAAAACAGGATAAAAAACAAGAACCCAAACAAACATATTCAATAATAAATCTAGGATCTCATGAATAAAACTAATTGAACAAGAAGAATGGGCATTATAATAAAAATAACTTGAATCTAAATCAAAGCTGTAGGTCTCTGTACAGGGACTTTAGGATTAAAACTGTTTTGAACCGTATAAAGGGACATTATAAAGGGCCAATGCGAAAACAGAATATAAGAAAGGTAAAAATGGCACCGGGCAAGAAAGGCAAGGCCAAGGCGAAGTCGGCGAGCCCTGCGGAGCCAACTCAGTCCGACAACAACAACTTCCCGGCCTGTATTCGGTCGGTACCTCCTTCGTCGGTGGCCATCACCATCCACGCCAAGCCCGGCTCCAAAATCGCCGCCATCACGGATTTCAGCGACGATGCGTTGGGGGTGCAAATCGACGCGCCCCCGAAGGACGGGGAGGCGAATGCTGCACTGGTCGAGTACATGAGCTCGGTTTTAGGGGTAAAAAGACGGCAGGTTTCGATCGGGTCGGGCTCCAAATCAAGAGACAAGGTTGTTATTGTGGAGGACGTGACCCTTCAAAAGGTTTTCGACACTCTCGACAAAGCTGCTGCTTCCAAAAACACCTAACCTAAGTACGCTAATGACATGTTTACTTGTAAAATCTAGTAGAGTTAAATGTGTGAATGTTGAAGTTTGATATATTCAATGAGGATTTCTGTTCGTGCTTATTGGAATTTCACCCTCCTATTTGTTGACAGCATGGAGCCTTATCCCTCTTCTTGTATCTCCAAAATAATACATGCATTACTAGCTAGGTTCTAAAAGGCGCTAGTCGGACAGCGGCAGGGGCCTAACGCCTAATCATCTAGGCGTGCAGGGGCTTGCCGCCATTTTATAGGGTTCTTACTCCCTGTATTTCCTAGTGTCAATAGAATTACGAACCATGGATAACCATCGAGTCAATCGAGAGAAGAGGCGTGTTAGAAACTCGAATTCGTTTGTCTATTGCACATTTGCACTACACCATCAGCATTTGTTGAGTCAAAATGTAAATTACAGAAAGAACTATCAAATGTCAGAGTACAATCGAACCAAAACTAAGGAATCAAATGGTGTGTTCAATTGCCACTGCCGCTGCTTTTTGCTGAGTGGTCTTCCTTTTCCTGCCTTTTCTCTATTAATCCTCACATCTGCTAAACCCCAAACGCAACTTTTTGTTTCCACATCGAAAGAAACCAGCCTGAAAACACCGTCACTTTCGGACAGAGCACCGGTTTCAGCTGTCTCACAGACATATTTCACATACATCGGTCGTTCTTTGAACCGATCCAACTCATGTGGAACCCGAACTACCCTTTCAACGCCTGGAGATGACACCTGAAAGCAAACTTATGTCTTTAGAACCACAAGGTAAAAACACTCACTATGAGGGAGTACAAATTTCAGAAGTTTCAGCTTTACAGCTTAATCCATGGTGGTAAAAACATAGGCAGACGAGTTGGCATTATGAACTGAAGCAACCAAGCACAAGTCTTAACTTAGGGTTTCGTTCCAAGATTAATAATCTGTAATTGTATGTCTTTGCAACCACTTAACATTGAAAAATCTCAAGCTAAAGAATAGAAAACCAAGAAAAGGGTAATACGAAAGTAAAGAGCGAGAAATAGAAGTATACCTCCAAAGATAAATTCTCAGGAACTGATTTAGCAAGCTCTGCCTCATCCAGTTTTGCTCTATAGGTTCTAGAAAAAGCTTCAATATCTTCCATACTCGGGGAACCAGATCTGTAGTAAATCCATGTGGTTTGAGCTCAAAGGGCATTCATATGACAGCTTACACAATTTGTGGAGACAGACTTATTAACAGACACGTTTGGTTTGTCTACTAATAAGAAAATGGAAAAACAAATACAAATGAGAAAAGTTAGGAACTGAAATTCAACAAATTATGGTACTTTGTCACACCAACATTAGATATTAGATGAACCGGTCTGATTACAGTCTACAAAGATTTCAGTAATCCCTATTTCTTAATGCATGATAAGCATTCAAGTGTTTTACTGGTAAAAATATAAATCTTACGATTTTCCCAGACTCCAGATGGATTATTAAACTGGTTCCTGGCTGTTGAAAACTTAAATTGGCGACTACACCTGTTTTGATGTTGCTTTTTGGTAGTCTCATATAATACCTTAAGCTTTTCAGCAGCAGCGGTAAGTTAACATAGTTGCAGAGACATGTACTTGAGTCGTGGATCGAGTCTTGGTTCTGGTAACTTCTATTGTGCACGTGTAAGGTCCAGTTTGGTTAAGTTTCTGTGGACACCCTACACATGAGAGGAAGTGTTATTGTGTGCAGTTAAGTTGTGCTCCATATGCGTTGTTATCTCTTATCCTAAAAGCTTAATCTTTTTAGGTCAATTATTCCCCCTTTAAATTTGCATACATGAAATCTTTATGCTATGTTTGGATAAGGGACGTTAAAAGTAGCAAGGATTTCAAACTCGATTGTTAAAAATGAACTACAAGAACAGTACCAAAGAACTACCCAAGCATCCAATAAAACACTACACGCGGTACAAAGACACTAAACAAAGGACTTTGGAAAGACACCTTTCAAAAATCTCTTAAATGTATTGCTTCTAGTCGTTTTCAAGTCCCTCTATCTAACTTTTGTAGTGCATTCCTAACAAATTTAGCTTAAGTTCCAATGAACTTTAAAGTCCCACATCCAAATGAGAATTTCGGATGAAACCTTTAGCAAAAGATGTGGTTTTTTTCTATAATTAAACCCACAAATCAGACTTTTACCATTTAACTTATGTTGCAAAGGATCCAGAATTATCCAGTACTATCATCTAAAAGCGATTTTTTAAACCACAAGAAAAACAAATGACATGCTTTGATTAAATTCTTAATCATTTCCAGCAATATTGAAAATGATTGGAAATTAGATGCGTACAGAAATAGTCAGGACGAGTTGTTATAACAAAGGAAAATGAAGAATTCTGACGACATTTGCAAATCGAGATCTGTTTACACAAGGTAACACCACTTCCATAACATCAAACATAAATTTTGACATACTCAGCATGTATATCAATCAACTCAGCATGTATATCAATCAACTCCTTGATTGCAATCTGAAATTGTCAAGATACGCTCTTACACATGGCAAGCACGGAATATGCATCACATACTAATATCCTATACGTTGTAGGTTAACAAGTATGTTACTAGTCACATTTAGATTTGGTACGATGCTTACTTATTCGAAAGCTTCTCAATGCGCACTTGAACATTGAAATTTGGCAACGTTTTAAAAGCATAAAGTTTCAAGTCGCCATCAAGGGACAGAATAACTTCTTCAGCTATTTCTAGTGCTTTGTCATCCCACCACGTCCCAGCAAGAGAAATTCCACCACCTCCGCCTCCGTCTCCAGCCTTGATACACAAGCAAAAGGTTGTTAGATACGATCAATCCCTAAGATTACAGTGCACTGCCACTAACTCACACACAACTTACGTAGTGCTCAGCAGCATCCGCCACAAACTCATCCTCTTCGTAATAATCATCACCCTCATCATCCATTAATGCGTCTATATGATTAAGAACACACTTAAAACATTAAACAGTTGTGGCCGAATTTTCGGATAATAAAAATATGAGTAAAAGCATGGTAATTTTTGCCATTGCTTAGATTTTACAGCTACCCATCAAAGCATAATCCACCATTATCTCCTTAACTACTTTACAAGCACCAAAACAGCATTACAAAGAAACATTCAAATTCCAGAACCCTAAAGCAATTGACATATTATCCAAAAAAAATTATAGATAAAAAGAGGAAACAGGTGAATTTACAGAAGTACCATCGTCGTCTTCGTCGTCCAAGATAACGTCGTCATCTTCGTCGTCCTCTGAAACTTCATCAATAATGGTGGGTTTGAGAAGTGGCTCGGGCTCTGAGTTCGGCTTGCGGGCGCGGAGGGCAGAGGACTTGTTTGGAATAAAGGGAATTGGGCATGGCAGGAATTGGAAAGAGAGGTTGAGAGGTGAGAGAGAAGGCCTGGCGAAGGATGTGATTGGCGAGAATGTAACTGCAGAGGCTATGAAATTCAATGTTGAGTCCATTGCTTCTCCTTCCGACAGTGAGAAAAGCGGTAACAGAGTTCAGTATTTGAATTGAATTGAATTCCCTTGGGCTGCTCCAGCTTCAGCAGACCGACGGCGGAGTTGGAATGCGTCCGATTAAATTAGGATTGGGATATTAAGGGTAATGTTTTCAATCAAGGAAAAATCTAGAAAATTACTCTTTTGTATCATATTTGAGTATCATTTGACGTAACAAATAATGTGTATATAACACCTTAATTAATGTACTTATCTTATTAAATATTAGTTGACGTTGCAATGCTAATTTAACCCGTCAAATCTGATCTCCAAATAATTGACCCTAATAGTTTTATTTTGAGGATCAAATTTTGAGCATATTTTAATTATGGGTAATTGCCGGATAAACTGTCCGATTTTAGTTCGGTTATGATTACTGGGGTATTTATTCGAAACTCATATCCGAAACCATCCTGTTTTCATTTTTTTTTCTTTAAAAGGTTTTAGGTTCTAAGAAAATAAACGGATTATGTTATGGGGATGTGGCACATCATAACCCAATTTGTACTTTGTCATCCCTAATTATACATCACTTGTCACATGAAATGGTAATAAGGGTCTGACAATCAGCTTCAGGCTAACTATAAAAGCTCTTAATTCATACAAAAGCTTAAATGATATTATGAAGGGTGTTGGCTGTTGGACTTGGATTTAACATGTGCACCAATTAATTTGGGCTACAATCGGGTTGAGTTGGGTTTACCAATTGGGTTTGGTTTGGTTGGGTATGGATTCGTGCAGGTTACGACTAAGAAAAAACCCGCCCACTCGGGTTTAAGCATTGATCACTCAACTTAAGGTGACCCTTTTCATCAGATACATACCAAGAGTTTGAAACTTGAGACGAATAAGAATCCATTTGGCTGGAATTTGCAGGTGGTCAGGCAAATACAAACGAGCAATAATGGACTGGACGTTATGTAAGTCTCATGAGAGCTGCACACTTGTTAATACATGTATCTAAGGTTTGAGGTTATAGAGTTCGAGTATGACTTTGTTTGTAAGCTACCAAAAGGTGTGTACGATAAGGAATGTAGCTAAACAATCCTGATAAACTATACTACTGTTATATTATCTGATATGGATACTTGGGATTGCATGATAAGGTTGAGTTCAATTAGGACTAACATTATGGGAAGTCTCCTAGTTGAACACCATTGCATAAGGTATAAATATAGGGTCCCTGCACTCTCAATTGACACGCAATAAAAGAGCCTCACGCCCCATAGTATTGAGCCATTGCATTCTGAGATTGACGAGTTGCAGAAGAAGCCTATCTCGATCGCATTCTAGCCGACATGGTTTCTACAGGTTAGTGGTTATTTGGTTTTAGTGAATCAGTTATGTATTAAACTAATCTTACATTTGGTATCAGAGCTTTCACATACCAATTAACCCTAAGATGAAAGCATCAAGAACAATTTTTTTTTTACTGCAGATTATGGACTGATGACAGGTTATCAGGGAATTCATGTATTAAGCATATATCAGCTAAAGCTGTTTGTGTTCAAATGCATATCTTCAAAAACTTGGACATCAGTAGTTGCACTAGAGTT